GAAGGGTAGAACGATTGTAATCTTTCACATTGAAAATATTCAGAATGTCCATCGTTTCACGGTTACGATACAACATTTCATAAAGCTTACACAATTCACAGAACAGAGCTGTGCATTCCTGTTCTGGATCAAAAATTGCTTGTAACACAACAGATTTTTCTATATAATGTTTCAAATTATAAACTCGAATCAAAACAAGTGGTCTTTCCAATTCGTATGAAATTATATTCTTCCAAGCAAACGGATTCTTTATCGTTTTCAATTCTTTCATGATGAAAATATCCACAAATTTCTCTTTAGGATCCAACAATTCTACTCTCATCACACAACTGTTACTTTTTTCATCGAAAAAACAAGATTCTACTCTTTGGAAATTATGAGAGAAATTATTTAAATACAATAATAGTTGAAAGGAAGGATCTTGATGAATAATTTGATAAAATTCGTGGCAAACTAAATTAGCAGATCGGAAGAGATTTTCCAGAGGTAAATACTCGAGAATGGAGTGATAAATTTCCCTTGGTAGTAATTGATTTTCTAATGATATCATTTTTTTTTAATTCTTTTTTTAGAAACTAATTACGAGTGAAAGATTGAGGCCCTTAATTTACATCTATTTTACACTCGTTGATTCATTTTACAAATAAACAAAAATTATTAATAAGCATACATGAAGTACAATCCTAGGATTCACAAATAAATATAAAAATTTAAAGATTTTAATTTTTTTTTCCAAAATCGCGATTTGAAAATTTATGAACTGTCTGTACTAGAAACAAAGTTTGTCATTGATTAATAGTTAATTAGAAAACCTTCTTCCAACAGGTAACCTTTCAAAAACAAAATGCCCCCACTCCTGTCCTTCCATTCTTCTTCCATTATTATCATCCTCATTCTCTTCATCAACAGCATTTTGTTCATTCCCTCCTCATTGGCTTCATCTAATACTCAAAACACTACCACTTCAACAATTATTAAAACAACCACAACCACAACAGCAAATAATTACAATATTAAAATAGTGGCAGGAAGTTATGGCAATACCATTGATTCCTATCATTTTCCGATCATATCCGAGAGTCCAATTTATGTGCAATCATCCTCATCTGTGGTGATGGAGAAGGAGAAGGAGGAGGATGATGGTGATGAAATAATATATTTATCAGATACACAGTTTTGTGTGGTGAGGAAAATTCAGAAAAGTTTGAGTGTTGTGGTGGCAGGAAATGGAATTTGTGCAGTTCCTGGAGAGACAAGTGGATTGGCTGTTGAATTTTCATTGACATCACCAGGTGGTGTTTATTTGGATGAATCTACTAATATATTATATATTTTGGATAATGGATTGAGTAATTCAGGAGGTTTTGTTAGAACTGTTGATATGTCAAGTGGAATGTTAAATACTTTGCAATTGACCTATGAACCTGCAGTGCTTATGTTAAAAAGTCCAACAATGATAACAAAGAATGGTGGAATATTTTACATTGCTGATACTGGCAATAATGTTATTAGAAGTTTGACATTTACTGGACAAAATACTGCTCATTGTAAAGTAATTATTGGTGCAGTCAACCCTGACGTATCAATGAGTTGTGTTAATGTTGACCCATTGAGTTGTCAACTTTCTTCTCCAACAAGTATTACATTTTCATCTGATGGAATGATCATTACTGACCAGCAAAACAGTAGATTTCTCGCTTTACAAAATGGAATTGTGTACCCATATTCTTTGGTAATACCAACTCCATTGCAAATAATA